GCCACCTCTGAAGATGTACACAACATCTCGAGGGTGTTATATGTTACCAACGACACAGAGTCACGACTACAGTGTTCAAAGCCAGCAACTACTGCTGGGCTACATCCTACACTGCAGTACAGTATAAAAACAAGGGCAGGTGATGAAAGGAGGAGGCCCAAAGTCAGGAAGGAGGAAAAGGAAAGGAATACGAACAGGAAATATTGGGGAGGGTTGACTCTTTTTTTAAGCTGAGCAGAAAGGAGAAAAAAGGAGAGGGAAGAAGGTCAGGCTGACAAAGTGAAGGGTGAGAAGAAGGGGGGGAGACTGGGGGAGGAGGGTTGCTATGAACTCTTAAACCCAGTATGTCAGCCAAGACAGGAAACCCAATCTCCTTCATGGTTGAAAGAAAATACTGACTAATACTTTTGCCCCCTAGCCCCTTGGGCAGGATGGGGTGTCAGTTTTGCTAATTCTGGTCTATTTTGCTCCAATACAACCAAAAATATTTAGTGTATCAAAATGATGGCAAGGCTAGATGTGTTTCTAAAAGCAGTGGTGAGACAGTATGAGAACACTGACTGTGGCACAGTGTGTCTTAGCATAATATATATTTTTATAAGATCCACATTCAATTTCCTGCACAAACCCAAGAAAAATAATAATAATCGTTAGTGCAGTGGCAAAGCAAATGTAATAAGATCACGATAAGATGACCTCAGTCACGGCACATTTCCTCTCTGCTCCTCTTTTATAAATTGTGTGGATGAAATGAAAAAGCACCACGCCAGTGAGCGATGACACGGAAAGACGACGCCTTCCCCATGGAGCTTTAAAATGTATCTTTTGCCTTCATCATGACTTTGTTATTGTTAAACTGTTGTCAAAGGAATGTAAGATTCTGTAAGATTTCTCTGTCAGCTGGGGAAAAAATTCTTTGACATTTTGATGCTTGAAGCTGCGTGTCACGCTCACAAAATGTGGGTTGAACTGAAAGCCACACACAAATGTAAATGACCTTTTATTTCACACCCAAGCTGAACAGAATTAACAAATAAATAGCTACATTTTATAAGTGATTTTAAAAACTTGACTTCTTCCTAAGGCACTGACATTTAAAAAAAAACAACTTTTTACTTTTATTTGCACATCAAAGAGTTCTTATATTTGCTACCAGTGACAATGTGTAGGCTTTTATACACCTATAAATATATATAAATACACACTCTCATACACGTGAGAGTGTGGGCAGTAACAGAGATGATAAAAAAACGTCTGTGGCAGGTCTTGAGCACATCACAATGAGATTTGGACTGTGGGTGGAGAGTGTCTGAGGACTCCTGAGGTTGATATTGCCACAGTTACACTCCCCACTGGGAGGATGAGATGAGCTTAGAACAC